AACAATGAGCAGAGGTCACTCTGCAACTGTTCCTTTCCATTCATAAATAATGTTCTGCCCATTTGTAATGCAAGTTTCCCCATCGGAGAGCCATTTCTCTTTTGTTCGCAGCCTGCTGGAGACCTCTTGCTCATGGAGACCTCGGGGTGGGGGGGGCCCTATTTGTTTTGCTGCAGCAAAATAAAAGCTGTTCACACTAGAAGCACCTGGTCTTTTCTGTATATGAACACCCTAGCAGGAGGGTGTTAGAAGGCTCCCAGAACCAATGCAATCCCAATGCCTGTAGCTCCTTGTTGAGGAGAAACTATAAGAAACTGGGTGGTTCTAGCTGGGCTTGAACTGAAGACTGCCTGAAGGGTTGCAACCAAGAGGGCAAAGTAGGGTTTAAGAAATGCTTGTGTGGGCACAAGACAGTTGTGTGACATACTATACACATGGCCTTCCAAGCAGAGATTCAGCACATCACCTTTTCACCAAATCAAAGCCAGAACTAGCCCTTGCCCTGAGTGGGCTGAACATGGCTGTAACCACAAAGTACTTGCACAGGCAGCTGGATGATAAAGCACAGCAACATATTTTGCAAAGAAAGGATTTGTTTCTTTAGAACAACAACAAAACGATGCCCACATCAGAGTGACCTCTTGAGAACAGAGAATTCTTGGCATGTCCTGGAATGTTCCCAATCCTTGAGCTGGAAACAAATAAAACCTTATTCAAAGAGGATAAATTGTATAAAAGGGGATGTCACGCACATGCAGGCTCTCACATTCATCAGGCAGTGCTGGGGAACCAGCTTTGCAGTTGGCTTTGCTTCTCTGGCCTGCTCCACAGACAGACAACGCTCAAGGTCTGGCACCTGTTGAATCTGGGCAGACACAACCTTCTTGCTAGTTCCACCTAACCTCACGTTGTGCCAGATACGCCTGGCCTCATGTCCACTTTTCTTGCTAGACATTGCTGAATCCTATAGTCTCATTGAGCCAGAGACCTCAGAGCCTTGGAGAGGGAGGGGAGCAAGTTTACAGTTACCCTATTAGACAACTGGAAGGAATAACTGATAAAGGTAGCTAAGAGGTGTGTGTTCATTCCCTCTCATGTACTTATACAGCTACTGCTTGGGCACCATTCACTAATTCTCTTGCAAAATTGTGTCCAAGAAACCCTGCTCAGCACGAAGTCCATGGAAAGAGCTGCCTGTTGTAACATAAGCTTGTGTGAGTGAATCTCTCTCTTCAGTCCATCTACTCTGTAAGCTGCAATACGGTCAGGATGCAGAGTCCACAAGCCAAGTTATCAGGCCCATGCACTCAGACAATTCCTTAGCTCTCCATCCTCCAGAGGTTCATGAGTTTTTAGAGGGTTGGTTTTTTTTTGTGTGCCACTCACAAAACACAAGTGTGTCATGTAGATGCACCATGCTAAGTTTGGTCTGTTCTTCTCTCTCCAAGGCAACACCAGAAGATAGTGAAAGAAAATGTAGAACAGGTCGAGAACATGGCAATAAGGATGATCACAGCCATGGAGAGGCTTCTGTACAAGGCAAGATTAAATAAACTGGGCCTTTCCATCTTAGAAAAAAGATGACTAAGGGAAGATACGATAGGAGTCTATAAAAATAACTAAGTGAAAGTAAACAGAGATTTACTATTTAACATCTCAAATTCCTAGAACTAGGGAACAAGGGAATTATTAGGAAGTTGGTTTGAAACAAAAGCAAGGGGAGAACAGAGGTGGCTGCACACTAGGGGACCAGCAGAGCTCCAGTTCCTAAACAGATGACTGTGTGGTGTCAGGTGGGCATGGGCAGCTGCTGGTTCCAGGCTATGACTTGGTCATAAGCCAAAATCTGGTTAAAACAGAGCTTACCTTCCACACTGCTGATGGCAAGATGCTATTGACATGAACACCATGCCTGGTTTCCCTTATTTGTTTGATGAGAGATCAAGATGGCATCGAGTTGCCCACTGTGCCTTCTTAGCACTGTAGACCACTACAAGACTCTCTTGTCCTGGTCAATATTTTGGCAAAGCTGCCACAGGAGACTGAGGCACCTCCTGGATTGCATGGTCTCAAAATGCACATAGTAATAAACTTGACATTATATTCTCAGTGGACCAAGGGGTCTCCAGCAACCAGTGTTGAGGGGAAATAGGGAACTGGAAACTGGCTGGGGTCAGTCAGGACTTGAAGAGATGCTGGCTAGCACTAGGATAAGCTGTCAAAGCCTAAAAAAACTGTCGCTCAGTTCAGGACATTTGAAGCTTCTTGACGAACAGGGTGTTGTTAATGCGGTGCCTTTACCATCCTCTTCACTGTCTGCGGTCCCAGAGGGCAGTGATCAGAAATTCCTTTGATGTTATAGTGGTCCAGAGATTGCATCTTTTCCCCTATATGCAAGCCTCACTAATCACACTGCTTTTGCAACCTTAAGCTGACCCCACTGCAATGTGCTGTACAGTGGGAGACCTCTACACATTATGTTGCTAGTGTAAACCATAACTGGGAGAAAGTGGTACAAACTCCACAGCTGCCAATTCATTGCCAGAATAAATTTGACATGCAAAACCAGAAATGGTCTAGGTCCCAATAAAACTCTGCCTCATAATAACCCCTGCGGTGATGGAGAAGACAGACAGGCTCTGTCCTAGAAAGGTGCCTTGTGTGTGCTGGGTCAACTGGACCATCCCCCTTGTAGAATTAATTCATGGTCAGGCCATGTTTAGAATGTGAAGCCAGAGAGCCTTTAGCTGGAGCAAAGGTGGAAGGGGCACAGAAACACCATGGACAACAAGGCATTAGGAAACTTTGCACCACAAAAAGGCAAGCAGGCCAAGTTTGGATTTTAAATTAAGAACATTTTGGAAAGTACGAAAAATAACCCAAAGCCTTCCTCTGCCCAGGCCCTTTGCAAGAAAGGGTGTTTATTAATAGAATTTGCCTTATCAAGTTTTCCTGGGATTTTTTTATAGGGACTTTAAGAATAAATACAGCCAGTTGCTGGATATACTGAATGCACAAAGCCCAATCTGCTTACAAAAGATTGCCTGTTGAGGGATGCACGGACGTGCTATCCTAAAATAGTCCCAAATTCCTACCACTACTGTAACCACTGCTGCTCTCATTTTGAACTCTGAAGTATAACATTTTGGGCTTAGGTTTACTTGGCTCCTGTAACCACTCAGGTTTAGAAATACACTTGAGAACAATAGATCTTCAGTGAAAAAGAAGCACGTGTCTCGGCTGTTTTAGGAACAGTGCATCTTGCATCTATCTGTGCAGGGGGTTGAACTAACTAGATGACCCTTGACGTCTCGTTCCAACCCTGCGATTCCATGAAAATTCAGATGTTCCTACTTTTTCAGCTCAGTGTCAGAATGTTTTAAGTCTGCAGCAGCTCATAACTATGTTAACAAATACCAGGCTAAAAATACAGCATAGGGAAACCAAAAGCTGGTCCAGAAGCATCCAGAGATCTAAGATTTTAGAGTGACCCTTACCAAGAACGAAAGGTGTATTGTCGAGGCCCTTTGAAGGTGACTTCATGCAAGGTACATTATCACAACAGCACAGATTTACTGGCTGCAGTATCGGTTCTTTTTGAAGAAATTGCACACCAGGAATGGGACAAGCATCACTGGGAAAAGGGGAAGCAAATGGTGATATTAAGTGATCCAATTACATGGCAACTCCTGACTAAACCTCCCAGGGTCTTCAAGAGTTCTTCAACCTCCCAGGCATGCACCACTTCTCCAGCCTTAGCTGGCTTCCTTTGCCTTTGAGCTCATTGCCTAGAAATACAGGTTAAATTGGCATGATCTTTCCACAGGTAGCCATGGGGCAAGGGGGAGGTCAAGACCCACTGAAGCACAAGCAGGGTTGACAACACATCTGGACACAGTGCCCTGCAATAAAGGCTGCATTCTGGTGTCATTCAGGCTCATAACAAGAAGTCATATAGCTTCTAGGTATTGCAGTTTCGATTCCCCTAGCCCCTAGTCTGCATTCTAGCAAGGGGGAAGAGGGTGGGGGTAGCACCTTGGAGATTTTGCCTATGAGGGATTTTTGGGGTGGGAGGAGAGAAGGAAGGAGCTGACATTTGGGTGGAGGTGTTAGTCTGGAACGGTTAATCCATTGGAAGGGCTGATCCATTGGAAGGGTTAATCCATGGCAGGAATCTGCACCTAATTGTTTTTGAAAGCCTGAAGAATTGTGCAACCCACTGGACAAGTTCGGGCCCATTGTGGAACTGCTAGTACAGACATGGAACAGGCCTCCCCCCTCCTCCGGCCCTGCATTTTCCACTATGAGGCCACAACAGGAACTGGATAGGGTGGCAAAGTATGGTTTGTTTGAAATGGAGGTTTCCCTCCTGTACATGCCCATGCTCTGTGCAGACTTTGCTGCAAGGGCCAAGGCCAGTGCATTAGCTGATCACTGCAGGCAGATTCAGAGGGGTGACGTCCCCCACCCAGGTCAGTTGCTGAAAGCACTGTAGCCACTCCTCTGATAGCAATAGCCAAAAGGCTCCCACTTTTGCAGAGGGATTAAGAAGTTTCATCAGGAGGCAGAAAGTCTGCTTATCCCCTGCCGAACCCCCTCCCCCCTCCTTCAGGCCCTTCCATAGCAGGGAGGTGCCATAGCATGGCAGGGAGCTAGATGCCCCTGCTGTCACTAAACTCTGTGTTGCCTGACAAAGGCTTCATTCATATTCTGAATGAAAAAACCCAGCCAAAGCAACTTGGGCTGTACGGGACAGAGAAGGAGGCTTTGGGAGCTAGGGGAAGCTAGTGGCACCTAGTAGCTATATGGCTTCTTGCTAGGCGCCTGATTGACATAAGAGCTGGCAGTGATGGAGCAGAGCACAACTCTTCTGATGAGGTCCTAGCATACACTGACAGGCTGGGCTCCTGGGGTCAAGCATTAGTACTACACACTACCCACTTGTCTGCTCCCCTGTAGTTGCCAACGGCTCTATTTCTAGACCACACCGGCACCATGCATGCGAGTCATCCTGTACAATCCATCTTTATTTGTAAAAATCCCAATATAAAATCTTTAGTTTCTTTCCTTTTACAAAAACAAAGGCACATAAAAACTAATTGCTCTTTCATCCCCATGGACTGATGTGTCAGACACTCCCTCCCCCGTTCCCCCTCCAGTCCATGTTTCTTCATGCTCTCCCTTGTCCTTCTGCTCCTTCCTACCAGGGCACAATGCTGCATTCCAAAGACGAAGTACGCACACAGGGCAGGGGGTGGGGGCGGTGGTGGGCGACGTGGTGCTTGGAATGTTTTGACAGTAGCATTTTAGTAGTAGGTCTCCTTTTCCACCCAACCTACAAAAGGAGGAAGAAAGAGTTGCCATCAGTCTCTGGTGGCAGGTGGTCCCTTGCACCCTTCAGATACAGCAGCACACGCAGATGTCAAGGAAAGATTAAGTGACCCTGGTGTAATGTACATCTTTCAACACACTTGATGACTTGCAGCTTTCAAACACCACTAACTTCCTTGAACTCAACAAACACGAGCCATTCTTTTCTAGCATGGGAAACAAACACTTCTGTCCCACCCTTCCCCATCTCCATCTTTTGCATACAGAGTATTTCATAATCTCTTCAGATTATGATTTCAGGGCTTAGAGGGTTAGACTGAAGCAGCCAGCCCCAGGGCATATCAGTATGCCAATATGCTCAGCTATAATGGCCCCTTCATGGGGAAGGAGGCAGCAACAGGAAGGTGCAGCAAAAACAGGGGACTCCAGGGACCTGAACTGCAATAAAGGACAAGTTCAGATGAGCCCATCAAATGCCATGGAAACCTGTATGTTATTAGAAAAGCTGGGCTCCAGGGATATTCCTAAACACCATTAATTCAATTGGAATTGTTCCTGTTTTGAATTTGTGAGGTAGGAATGGATAGGATACAGCTACTTGAATGCAGAAGGTTTTTGCTACAAATCTCACTTTAAAGACAGAGAGGGCAACAGCTTAAACTCCAAGGCATCAGCCTCTGCCATATGCCAGCCCCTCCAAGCTACAGGGTAGTTGAACTGAAATGGCAGCAGTAGGGAGCAGGGTGAGATTTCCCCTCCCCTCCCTCCAGTGCTGGCACCCCAAGAGACTAGAACATCATACAAGGCACTTGGCACAAGGGGACTAGAGTTCTGCTTGGGGCCCATAGCACCAGACTAGCACCACATCACACAGGTCAACAGCATGTTCTTACCACCAGGGTTGCGTCTGATGATGAACTTTCTGACTTCATCATACACAAAGATAAGGAGGGAGTATGGGAAGGCGCAGAACCACCAGGTTGGCCTGTTCAGAGGAAGAGAAACACCATGTGAGAATGCAGACAGCATGCAATCTTTCTGCAGCGTGTTCAGAGTGTCATGGTTAGGGTATAAATTAGAACAGATCATGGAAAGGGGGCCAAGTCCAAGCCTGCCAGGCCTCCCACAAGGGCTTCTGCTGAACTGAGAAGTGGCAGTACCAGGAATTATCATGGAATTTTCCTACTGAAAGATGAATCCAATTTCAGATGAAGTTTCCAGGGAAAGGTGTGTCACTACACCTTTGTTCTCCTCAATGCCAGCTCCTCCTACTAAATTAATCTAAGAGCACTTACTTCCAAGGCAACCTTTGTACCTGGATAAGATTTGCTGCACTGAACAGGATCATAGCACATGCAAGTCACAGGGGAGATTAGCATGCAAGAATTGCACGGAATATTATTGGTACCAGTCTCCTTGCTAAACTAGAACTGACTTTGCAACACTTCCACATCAGGCTGGGGATGCCACCTTTTGTGGATGAAAAACGAATGTCCTAATTTTTACCCCACAGAGACCACATGCCATCTGTGAGCAGAAGGGGCTGTTTATTTTGAACAAGTTTGAATCTTGCCATGTTTTCCATCTACCATGCCATTTCAGATTTGGCATCTCTCTTCACTTCCTGCCACCTTCAGTCAAAACTGGGGTGGCCAACCCATGCTGCACATGCCACAAGTGGCACAGGCAGCCTCTGTATGTGGTACATGGCAGATCAGGGAGGCAGCAGGGAACACAGGAGGCCAATAAGGCGAGCAACAGATTGAGCAGAAGGGGGCCAAATGGCATACAGGGACAGGGCAGGTATGCCACAAAGTAAGCCCTGCAAAGTTGGCACCACTGTGGGGGGCCATTACTGGGCAGTGGTTTAAGGAGAAAAACACAACCACAGTCCACCCCAAATTCTACGCAAATCACAAGTCACTTTGAACCAGGAGACCCTTTCCTCTGAGAATCCCTTTATCTATGCAGTTGCCATGAGAAGCGTAAATAGGCACTTCATTTTTAGCAGCAGCCACCCAGTTCTTTGCTGTCTTAAGAACAAAGGAGGCCTGATCTGTGTTTGAAAGTTGAACAATGCTAGCTTTTCATCAAAGGTGTTATTTGCTTTCCAAAATGTAAATAAACAATATACTAGTACCCTGGCAGCTGCACCAAAGAACTGCCCTGTTCAGATATGTCAGTCTAACTTTGTATTTAGCAAAACCCTCAGCCTTGAACAGTTCCCCATAATCTGTCACACACTTAGGAATAGAGGAAGTAGATTCCTGGTTAGCAGAAATAAACTACCAGAGAAAGTAGACTATGTGGTCAACTGAGATTTTTCTACACCTCTCTAGCCCAGGAAAGGAGTTCCAGATGTGGATTAAGCTAGACAAGCTCATGCCAATTCCTGGAGAGATCTTATCTACTCTGTATATACCCCTTTTAACACACAATTCTCTACAGCCATTATTGGGAGAAGCAGAATTCGAAACATCAAGCTACAGGACTTACTTCAGGGGGTACATCCTCAGAGCAACATCCATTCCGGGACAGTATGAGAGGAAAGCAGCCAGGGCAGTCTCCTCAAAGAGACCAAATATTAAGATCTTGTTCCTAGGATAGAGAGGGGAGTTAGAACCAAGTCACAGAATCAGAGAAAACTAGGGCTCCACAGGTCATCTAGTCCATGGGGCCCCAAACCATGATGTGTGTATCCTGGGGCTACAAAAGACATCTTTGGGGGTATGTGGGAGAAATTGTGTAAGGGCAGATTTAATTTTCCGTTAATAATGGGCATTGAAGGAGTTAAAATATAAAACGTATGCTGGTAAGAGTACGCGGGCAGCTGGCAAATCTGGAAGAGGGCACACAATAAGAAACAAATTTGGGAATCTCTGCTCTAGTCCAACCCCTGCTTGAGGCAGGATCATCCCCAATATAAACCAGTCCATACAAATCCAGAATCTAACCTCTTACTAGAACTACCATTAACCTGGACACAAGACATAACACCCATTCTACCACAGGTAAAAGCAAGCAGCCAACATCTTACTTCTGCAAAAGGTTGAGTATATGTTCAAGAGAACCCAGAAAGAGGGCCAGGCCCCCCCACTACAGAGGAAGGTAAAAAAGTCACTTTCCTCATCTGCCCTCTGTAAACATGCCAATTTCCACATGAAGGGGGTAGGCTTCCATGAGGACATGCATAGTGGAAAGGCCAACAAAAAGGTTAAAACTCTAGATGTTCATGGGGGCTGGCAAAACCAAGGCACATGGATTCGGCAGTCAATGACACAAAAGGTCTCTGAATCCAGCAGCCAAGGACACAGAAGAGTGTGACTGGCTGGGAGCACAGCCAGTCACCTCTGACTTCTCAGCTTGAATGACCTCTGGGCAGCAACTACAGCTCTGTTGCTTCACCCTCCCTTTGTACCAAGCTATTTTTCATTATCCCACCCTTGCATTCAAGGCACCCTTCACAACAGGAGTTGGGACTGATTCTTTTTGGATGCTGGTCTTCCCAAAGTGTCATAGGTACTACTGGAGAAGAGGATTTGCCTTCCCTCTGGTTGCAGAAAAGGATCCAGGGTCTATTGATGCACCTAACTTCTCTGCACTAGGCAAAGCAGGGTGGGGGGCGACAAAGTAACAGTAAGCAGAAGCAGTGACCATCAGCTATGGGACAATGTGGATTCCACCTCCAATCACCACTCCTTACTTCATGCCCTGCTGGAAGACAGAGTTCCTCCTGGTCTTACAGATGATCAAGTCTGCCCACTGCACCACCACGATACTGACAAAGAAGGCTGTGTGGCATGTGAACTCCACGATTTTCCTCTGCTCATAGGTCTGGCATGGGGGAGGAGAGGGACGTTAGTACCAGCGTGCTGCCATGTCTGCTTCCCTGCCCAAATCTATGCATCGCCACAAGAAAAAGGAGGAAGGACTAGTCTTTTGCCTTTGCTCCCCCCTCCCCGATGCACTTGGGCTTAAACTCACCCACTGCTGCCCGTAGGTGTCCTCCACATCGTTCACCCACCGGTCGTCCCACTGGACCCGGATCCCAAGCAAGGAAGATGGCCAGAACCCGTTCTCAGCCATGATCACAAAATAGGTGAAGAAGCCACCAAGGGCCTGGATCATGCCTGAAGAAATCAAAAGGACAGCCCCAGGTGAAGCTGTGCAGAATGGTGATGGCAGGCAAATATTTTCCAGGGATCTGCATCTCCTTTATAGGCAAAACCTAGGCAACACCCCCCCCCCCTTACACACACACACACACACACACACACACACACACAAAACAGGCAAATGACTTTCTACAATTAACTTGAGCTTCTTTGGACAGTGGCTGGACGTACATTTCCCTCCACAGGTCCAGAGCTGTATCCAACCTTACAGAATTACTTGTATTCTACACCTGGCTGTGCAGGCCTGATAGCCTGCCTCAAGGACATGAGATAAAACTCCCATTGTGCTCTCTTCAAGCCTCACCTCCTGTTGCCTGGAAGCTGCATTTCTGAAGCTCTGAAACCTGCTGTAATTATGCATGTGCACTATGGCAGGTCTTTGTACTTTCCTTTAATCAACTCTAATGCTGTGGTGCTTTTCGGAGTATTCTGGAGAGAATCCTTTACTCCTAATTAAGCTAACAATGGGATCTATGTTCCTGCCGAATGAGCCCGAGCCAGAGGAGAGCTGGTTGACAGCCAGCTAATTTGCCATGCTATGCAATTAGACAAAATTACTGCACAAGCAAGTCAGTGGATGAAACTGCATGAGCCACCCCATGCGCTACTGCCTAAATTCATGGGTTTTTCAAAAGCCTGAGATCCTGGTTTATGGGCCCCAAACACTGCACCCTCCAGGAGTAGGGGGAGACCAGCGAACCCCCCTCCAGCACAACCCTGACCCAACAGAGGTGGGCTCAGCCCTGAGGAGGGAGAGCGTGCAGCAGTGGCTTACCGATCTGGCCATAGGCCATGCTGATCAGCCTCTCATTCACCAGTTTGTCCGTCTTGGGGTTCCTGGGCTGCCTCTTCATGATGTCACTCTCTGCTTGCTCGTATGCCAGGGAGATGGCAGGGACCTTTGGGGTGAGGTGAAAGTAGTTTTAAAGAAGGGGGAACAGTGAAACTCTTCTAGAGGGGAAGAGAACATCCCTGCTATCTCCGTTCTATGATAAAGAGGCTTAGTAGGCCTGTGCCAAATAACAGTGATGGAACACTGCTATGTCTGCATATAGCTTCCTGTCAGGGCAGGAGACTGAAGCACCTTGCAAACCACCCAGCTTTAAACACCCAGGTGTTAGGTAAGTGGACTGTGGAAGGAAAAAAAATATTGAGTGATCCATTCTGATCACAGGGAGTATGGGATGAGTCCATCAAGTTCTCCAGAGATACTTAGGACCCCACGTCCCTCTCAGAGTCCCACAGCTGGACTCTCCAAGGTCCTGAGAAGTACTTACCATGTCAGTGCCCAAGTCAATGCAGAGAATGGTAACTGTTCCCAGGGGAAGAGGGATGTTAGCAATGATGAAGATCAGGAAAGGAGTAATCTCGGGGATGTTACTGGTTAAGGTATAAGCAATAGACTTCTTCAGGTTATCAAAGATCAGACGACCTAGGAAGAAGCAAGCACAGGCTCTTTACCACCTTGTGACAGACAGGCTTCTCATAGAAGCCTTTCTTTTCCAAGCGTGTACATGGCTGCTACTGCACTGAATGCAGACTGACTAGCCCCATGCACCCTTCCAAGCAGAAATGCAGCACAATGAAAAGGTGGGTACTCTGTGGCATAGTCGATGGGACAATTCCTCATCATAATAGGGAGCTCAGAGAACAGGTTCTGTGGGCAAGTCCCATCCCCAATATACTTCCAGCTGCCAATGCCCTATCAAACCTAACACCCTTCAGAGGTGGCTTGGGCCACAGTGACAGGCCTTCTGCTGCACTGTCTGCTATTTCACTTCTGTTTGGAGAGATGAATATCCAGGTTACATTCAGAGGCCTTGTTCCCACAGCTACAGACCCCAGTTTGGGAGTACAGATGGGGAAATTCTATATAGCCCCAGAGGGCCAACCTTTTTGGCAGGCCTGCAACAAATTAGTCCCACACCCTTTCCAAGTGCCACTCTGATCCTCTCCTTCCTATCTTGGCCTCCCTGTCTGATCTTCTTGCACTGCATTCTGCTTCCTGTCCTTTTTGCTGATGAGCTGCCTGCCCCAAACCTTTGGAACTGGACTGAATCAGTTTTCCTGTGGATATGAAAGATGTCACTTAGTTGGGATTTATGTTCCTGTGAAAATTATACTTTGAGGGATGGATTCTTATCTCCTTCCTTCATCATTACAGAATACTGTTTGCCTGCATCCTGTTTTTTCTTTCCCAAATGTATGGTCTTCCATAACAAGTCTGTTTTTTCTTTTTTAGCAACTTTTCTAGAAACTTAACAATAGATATATTATAGAACAGCAGCATCTAATACATCTAGTTACATTACTTACTATAAGCTCTAGTATATTTGGATTATTTTATTTAGTTTTCCCTTATAATGTCTATTTTTAGGCTTTGCGCTCTGTTTAATTGAATCTTATTCCTAGTTTGATTAGACATGTTGATGGCTTTCTTTGCAGATGTGACAGCTAGCTTGGTCAGGAAATGGTCACTCAAACAGGCTGTGGGGCCACCTTCTTAGCTACACTTCTGCAGGTTGGCCTGGACCCCTCGAAAGTGGCCAAGACAAGCAACACCTCTCGTGAATCTGCACTGTGCATGCCACACATAAACAGGTGCCACAGGCTGGCCACCCTAACTATCCAGGATACACAGGAAGAACAGGTGATCCCAATGAGTCTGGGAAGAACCCCTTTCTAGCATACACCTTGTAAGTTATACTGTAGAAGTGAATGATAAGCCAATGTGCCACTCAGCGCTAAGATCAATGAGCATCTGGATGTCCATTCTGCCATTGCAGTCAGCAGCTCACCTTCCTCTACACCAGTCACAATGGAGGCAAAGTTATCGTCCAGCAGAATCATATCAGCTGCTTGTTTAGAGACATCAGAGCCAGCAATACCCATGGCAACACCAATGTCAGCTTTCTTTAGAGCGGGGGAGTCGTTCACACCATCACCAGTGACAGCTACAATCGCACCCTACATACAGATCAGAAGAGGTGGAAAACATTTCAGTTCTTTTAACAAGCTCCTGTTCTTAACACATGCAAATAGTGTTCTTTTTAGGGTCCCTGTTTCCCAAAGGAAATGGAGGTGGTTCCCCTCCACCCTCCAGGATAGACTTGTCCTGCCCATGATTTGTTTTCCAGACAGCACCTTTAGTGCAAAAGAAAGGGTTTCTATTATCTGGGATCCCTGTTGCCTTTCTGCATTGAGGAAGAGGCCTGGACGTCCCTAAAGCCAACAAATGCTCAGGCCTCACTGCTTTCTCTGGAAAAGCAGGCTGGATGCTTCTCATGCTGGGTGGAGGTAGTAGAAATGTTAAATATTTCACCCTCCCCCCACAGTGTGTCTAGACATTAAAACTTGAACAAGCTCCGTTATCCTGTGTAGGAGAGGCCTGAAAGAATGTACGGCACTCATCTCAAGGTGAACACACTTTGTGGTCTGCCTGTAGTGCCCACGCTCATACAGGGTATATGCCATGGGTACCTACTTATGGCTCAGACCAGCATCACAAGACACTTCTGCAGTCATGGCTATACCATGGTGGAGGAAGGGAACACAACGTAGTCAGGCAGATGGCACACTACCCAGAGCAGGGAGGGATGCTCAGACCTCAATGATTCAGAATGTGCTGTGATGGAGCTTGTTTTGGCAGTCTAAGCCAGCAGCTTTAAGAGGTGCAAACTGCAGGTCTCCTGCCCCTCTTACCTGTCGCTGGCAGCCTTCTACAATGATCAGCTTTTGCTGAGGTGATGTCCTGGCAAAGACGATTTCTGTGTGATGAGTCAGAATATCATCAAGCTGTTCAGAGGTCATGTCCTTCAGATCTGAGCCATGAACAACACAGGCCTTGGCATCCCTGGAATCCAGGAAGAAGGAAAAAGAGGTATCAGTGAGCTTTGCCTTTTATGACTTTTTTTTTTTTTTTAATGCTAAAGTCCCAATCGCAAAACAGGATCAATGCAGTACCTAGCAGAAACAAGTGGTAATTCCCCTTAAAGAATTTATATTCAAAATGCAAAAGAAACAACAGATGGATAATCCAGGGAGCACAAAGAAACAATGGGATAACGGGGAACCGCACTGTGAGGGACAGGAGCAATCTTGCCTCTGCCCAGGTTTCTGGAGACACCACAGCAAAGAAGGGTTTTAATTCCAAACTCTGTTGTTCCCCAAGGAATGGGAACCCCAGACCAGGCTCAAAGAAGGTAAACTTTAGCACCTCTGACAGACATGGAAAAAACTCAAACAAACAACACACAATGTTTTACCTGAAGAGGAACCACATTAATTTGACCTGGCTCCCCAGACTCTGTATAGATCGGGTGCTTCAGCAGGGCTTTTTGGCATTTATTAAATAACTGATTCAATGGCCATCGGATAAAAGCATCAAAAAGCCCCGCTGAAGTGCACGATCTATATAGATGCTGGGTCAAACTGACACAATGACTCTTCTGGGCATGCACTGCGTTCAGTGAGGGGGTGCACTGAGCTGAAAATAAAAGCGCCATTCACCCCCCCACAGTCTGTCAGTATCCATGTTGAACAGCTGAGCCTGGGTAACAGTGGAAAAGAGCTTCAGGTTTCAGGGGCGTGAAGATCACACATGACCATTCCTCCTTGTCCCTTCTACTTGTTAATACATGGTGCATACATACTGCACTCGCCCATGTGTCTGGTATGGCTAGATTGGTCCCTTTGCCTTACTACATCAGAATCCCAGCTCCCATCCATTCTGGCATTCTTGGGATCAAATGGATGATGTGTGTAGCTAGCAACACAGAGGCAGCAGAGGGGAAAAAACCCCGAGAGGAAAAAACCCTCCTGTCCAGCCTCACAGCCAGCTGCCAATATGTCAGTCATGTGGTCTGACAACCATTCATTACTATGTAATGGAGAGTCATGAAATTGCCCTAAAAAATCTAGCAGAGTTTCTGCCATTCCCAGTTCACTCTAGACTGTCTATTCACAGTTCACAAGCTCTGTGGCACCCTTCCAATCCAAACAGTCTGGGCCAGGCCAAATGACAAGGCTGCTGGGCTGCCCCTACAACCCACCAGCTCATGCCAAGAGCAAATTCTCTGAAGACATTTGAATTCGGCATGGGAGGGTGAATGCAGGTGTTAACCAATGAGGGGCAAGGGACTTCTGCAATGAGAATCGGATGCCTTTATCTTTGCTTGAAGTCACTCTCCGGGTCAGTTCCTCTACCCACACCCCTTCCCATCTCCTCTGTCTACTACAAACTAGCCTGGTACTCCAGAGGTACGGGACGGAGATGAGGGGAGGGAAGCAGAAAGGGCGGTCTCAGGCTTTAATATTTTAAGCGTGTTCATCTTGGGAAGTGAAAAAAAAATCTAGAGACCATTTCAGCTTGGTTTCCCGATGTTCCAGAATGAGAAACCTCTCCCTCTCCATTTGATTATTCATGCTGTTTGCATTTTTAGTCTACTCAGCTTGGATAACGAAAACCAGACTTGTCATTTTCCTCCAGAAGTTTTTCCATGACCTCTTTAATGAGTTGTTTTAACATTATAAAACAAGCTTAGCTATACACAACTCCCGGGTCAAAACTGAACCAAGTCCCCATTTAAGAACTCAAACCACTGAAGCCCCAATTAACGTTAATGTTAAACGTATCTTCAGTGGTCATTATGCCAGCTATTCATCTGGTAAATTTCTTTCAAGATTGCTTTGATCTACCGTTCAAGCTACAGTTAACAGCACTAGTGGGGAGGAGTCAGCACCCTTTCAATTTATGCTCAAAGTGCATGCGCAGGGTTTAGTTCAAAGCAAGTCCTGTGAACATTTCTCAAGGCATGTGACAAATATCAAAGAAACACAACGTGCAGAGATTATACTCAAGGAATAACGGCCACAAGTTGTTGGAGAGTAGGTTTAGATTAGACATCCGCAGGAACTACTTCACAGTTAGGGCAGCTAGGATTTGGAACTGACTTCCAAGGGAAGTGGTACTGGCTCCTACCCTGGGGGTCTTTAAGAAGCAGCTTGATGCCTACCTGGCTGGGGTCATTTGAGCCCAGTTTTCTTCCTGCCCAGGCAGGGGGTCAGACCTGAAGATCTACAAGGTCCCTTCCAACCCTACTTCTATGAGATGGACTTGTTAGCTGTGCGCTATCTGGGAGGGGGAGGAAAAGCAGTGCATATTCCTCTCAGACTGTTCTTTGCCATTTCTTGCCCTCTCTCAAAGAAGGCTTTCCACAATACCTGGGGTTGACCTGGCTCACAGGGATGTTCAGGCGAGCAGCGATATCTTCTACCGTTTCATTGCCCTCAGAGATGATGCCGACACCCTTAGCAATAGCTTTGGCTGTGATTGGATGGTCCCCGGTAACCATAATAACCTAGAATGCAAACAGTAGACTACCGTGAGGCCTGAACCTATGCTGCAGAGCAGTACCAGGCAGGGCAGGGACTGGAGCCCTTTGCGACAGGACACATGCAGGAAGATGGCAAAGTTTGCTTCTGTGGTCATAGATTCCTTGGGTCCAGTGCTCAAGGTGCTGGGGATGCTTGGTTCTCACTTTGAAGGGGAACTGTGGGCAGACAGACTAGGGAATGCAGAAAACTGACCAGGACCCTTTGGCCTCAAAAGACTGCCTCTTTGACCTATACTCTTACCACAGACTCACAGGATGGGAAAGCACCTCAAAGGCAAGCAAGCCCAACCCCCTACATAGATGCAGGATGGGTTATTCCTAACTCCCATCCCGTCAAATGAAAAAACCTGCACCAATGGAGATTCAACAGCTCCACGGGGCAGCATGTCCCAGCCTCCCACCATTCTGACAGGAAACTTTTCCTGAGATTTGAATCTAAGTGAGTTTTGCTGTGAGCATGCACTTAAAAAAGCAAAGTAGCAATTTTGAGGTGTATCTGGGAGGTAAGCCTGAAGTGCAATGGGAGGTATAATACTAGTGGAATGGCTGGGCTAACTTAAGTTTTTTTTCAGTCTGTTCTCATATTGCTCTAAGCTCGTCACTGAATCTGCATCTTCCAGCCTCAATCGCAGCCCAGAGTGAAACAGGACTGGAAAAGGTGCACAGCCACCTCCAAGGGCTTTCAAGTTTAGAAGTCTTTTTGGTTTGATCCCCTCTCCTAGGCTTTAGTATTCTCAGCAATGCTGGGGAGCCCTGTATAACCCATCACCCCTTTCTGCTGTGCTGGGTCTG